TGGCAGGTTGAATTGAAGGAAGGAAAGCGGAGGGGCCAAGCACACCACACGTCAACCCCCAAAGCTGCTGGGAAAATCCCTCTTTGCAAAACACCGTCTCCCTGGCTCTCGTGCTGGGTGGGAGCCTGTTGGTGTCGGCAGCTAAGCCGGGCGGCGTGATGAAACACTGCTTACTGCTACCCTTACTCACTGCGCTCCGGGAAGTTCCAGGGCTTTGTCAGCTCTTCCCTCTTGGTGCTGCAGCCCCCTTTGCTTTTCCCCAGCCCTGCCAGCAATGCCTGGTGCAGCAGTGCCCGACACGGGCAGCCCGCTTGCTTGCGTGCCCTTCCCATCTGATCGGGTGAAATCCCAGTGCTCTGCAGTCTGGCCAGCTCGCCCTCTCCTGGCTGATGCTCTTTTACTTCCACCCGTTTGAGTGCATCGGAGAGAGATGTCTGGTGCTCGCCTAGTCCCCTGTCCCCTCCACGTCCCTCTGCCCGACCCCTGCGCTCTCCCCCAGCCTGGGTTCAGCTTTCACCCTCCCTTCACCCAGAACCAAATTTCATCACCCCATTGCCAGCTCCTTGTTTTTCCCCAAGCAGCAAGGATGAGAAAGCCGGTGAATCAGCCCTATTATGGATTCATGTGAATTCCCCATTTCCCCGATGATCACCCCGAACAGCCTCTACCCATCTGCTGCTATATCACCCTGCCACCTCCTAACCCATGCCAGGCCCCCCAACCTCGCAGGCAGGTCCCAGACCCCCCTCCCATTCTCCCAAACAAGCGGAAAACGTCCTTAAAAAAATGGAAAAGCAGCAGAAAGGAAGCCCTCCACCCACACAACCATGGACACGCTCCCCGAGCTGCTGGGCTTGATTTTCCTCCGGTGACTGTGCCTGCTTTGAACCAGCCTTACTCGTTCTAAGTAAAGAAAAATGTGTCATTTCCAGGAGTGACTTATTACTAATGACACCATCACTGGGTTATGTGCTTCATGCCACAAAAACCTGTCAAGCACTTTTAGCAGGCTCCCATTTTAAGTGGTGATGGAGGGGAAGTTTCTTGATTCAACCCTTCGGTAATCTAGGTCATTCCAGGCTCGGCATATTTTTAAGCTGCTCCAGTTAATACCCCCTTCCTCTGCTTGCCCTTCACCCTGGCCCTGGGGGGTGGCAACCCTGCAAACCCCCTTTCTGAAAGAAATCCCCCTAAGGATGGGCAGGCAGCAAGCGTGCTAGGGAAGCGAAATGGCTCCGTCGGGCAGCTGCCTGGGTGCAGGCAGCGGCGCAGCGCTCTTTTAGACGATTTCTCCCCACACACCTCGCCGCCCTTGCTCGCCCTTTCCCCGCTGCACACTCCCCTTTGCCTGGGGCATGGACACCCGCAGCCTCAGTGACCCCTCCAAACCAGTGCCCGAGGGAGCAGACATGCCTGTGGCAGAGCCTGCCCTGGCTCCCGCAGCCTTCCTCCATTCCTCCTCCTCCTCTGCTCCATCTGCACACTCACCAAGCTTGCCTGGATGGAGAAGGGTTCAGGGGACCCCACACCAGGTGGGAAAGCTGCCTAACGCCCGCACCTCTGCAGATGCCCCTGCCCGCTGCAGGCAGCCTCTCACCTGCCTGAAGGAGCTGCCCCCTCCGTGCAGCTCCTTTCCTGCTGCTGCCTGCAGGGCCAGGCG